CTTCCATTAGGGCATTAGGCACATTAAAGCATTGTTTATTAAGCTGACAAAGCTCAATGTTTTGATTTAAAGCTTTCGTGACTGCAGTAATTCATATTCTTAGTTTTTTCGGTAAAGTCACGTTGAAGAGAAACAACAAAATAACAAAATATATATAATTGTTTTATATATATATATTTTGTTATTTTGTTGTTTCTCTTCAACGTGACTTTACCGAAAAAACTAAGAATATAAAGCTCAATGTCTTCATTCTTTTATGCTATTCACTTAAGTAATTTTTGTTCTCAGAAATTACAGGCTATAACCGGATTTTATGGATATACGTTATGTATCCATTACTCATGAACTATGTTGCACCCAAGTTGTGTGGTTTGATGTTCAGTACATGTACAGCCCTGTATCAATGCACTGCTGGATGAGGGCTCTTTCAACACCGTGCAGATGGTGGGATTTATACTTCAGCACGCTTCTAAGTGCTTGTTTGTGAAGTCGGGCAACAAAAGCAGCAGGGGCATAGAAGTACAGTTCAACAGTTGATTTTACGGCATTGCCCTATTCTACTCACCACGTTGTCCAGCCAATAACAACTTGTTTGAGCATGTTGGTCACCCGTCCAAGCTCTGAGATCAACCCTGCCTAGCTTTGCTGTATTGTAGGTAACCACTTTTCAACCGTACCACATATATATTACTACGAGACTTGGATTCACCACGCCCGGGCGCCTTTGTCTCCCCAGTGGCGATGTTCACACACCACACCAGTTACTCGTTTGAGGCGACCTAGGGGAGGCCCAGGACCGGTTCAAATAATCGTCACCGGTGGTGGCCGTGAGAGGGAATCGAACTTGGGTCACCGGGTTCATAGCGCAGCGCGCTAACCGCTACACTACCGCTCCCCACACACAGAGACACACACACACGCGCGCGCGTCCATAGCTACACATACACGCGCTTGCTGCAGACACACACAACTTTCAGGGTGCGTACGGCAGTAAACAACTCAAACAATAAACCAATGCTGCGCGAAGAACGCCTTAGACCTGCAACACATTTGTATGGCACTTTACTCGCAGAGGGTTGGGGTGGGGGATGCGTGACATCAGCAGGCACACTGCGTGACGTCAGCAGGCACACTGCGTGACGTCAGCAGGCACACTGCGTGACGTCAGCAGGCACACTGCGTGACGTCAGCAGGCACACTGCGTGACGCTTCCGCATGCGGGTGACATCACAGATGTAACGTCACAGCTCACTTGCCGTGCAAAATATACCCATTATTGCGCCCCCCCGCCCCCAAAAAAATATATATACAAAAGTCAATTTTTATAATTTTCGCATGGTGTACAGTCTGGAAAGTACCCTCATGCCAAATTTCAAGTTTGTTTCATGTCGGGAAGTATGCTAAACATTTTGAACAGACACACATCTTCACAAATTTCCCTTTTATATATTACTATATTTTACTATTTTTGTCCCAGGTAAGGACCACTGAGCTATATAGCTCTTATTCAAAAGCGACCTGGCCAATGATAGTTCAACGAAGTGGCTTATAATGTGGAAATGTATAGCAGCCAAATACTCTAAACGCATACAGTATATTAATTTCATCATGGTGCTGTTTTTTTGGTTGTGCCAATATATTATAGGAATGTATTCTTCTGTAGAGTTACAGTATTGGGGTGGAGCAGGTGCGCATTGCTATGTATACTGCGCTATGAACCCGGCAACCTAAGTAAATGTATTGGTCATGGCTAACATCAGTGGCAAGTGATATCTGAACCGGTCCTGGACCACCGCACCCTATTCACCAATCCGCACTGACCAGTGTGATGGAATATGGTCAAACAAACCCTATGACCAACATAGCGTAGGGAGCGCTTCATCCAGCAGTGGATTGGAAAATCGCTTTAAATAAGTATTACTGGAAGAGGATCCATGATATTGGTCGCCCATATTTCTGTGTATCGGTCAGCTTATTGGTCAAAATGCCTTTCTTTATCACAGCCAATTTTGTCCAACATCCACGACGGTAATTTAAACAGTATCGGCTGAAATATTGACCAACTTGAATGTCACTTGGGTTGTCATTGATTTTTCGCTAACGAATCCCACAAGAAACTACCTTGCATTTGGTTACGTGACAGAAAGTCACGCACACCACAGAACAAACAGCTAAACCAGGTTAGCTGATGACTTGGGAATTTCTAAATCTGACCCTGATCTGCTCCCTGGACGCAATAATGCCTTGACATTCTGTAGGACACAGGGGCAGAATAACAGCTGCTGCACTGTACTGTAGGTGACCAAGTGTGGACCGTAATATAAAAACAAATCCTTGACACATCGCACCGTTTTTCAATCACGCATGACTAGAGCGTAATAACCAAGGTCAAAACTCAGTTTGCAGATGCAATATGAATTCCACACCACGAAAATATGGAACACCAACTGATATAGTTCGGGTGGTAGGCAACGAATATTGTTGAATGTCATCGGTGTGTCATTTAATAATAACAATAATGATTATTCATCGTTATTTACCCAGGAAACCCTCATTTAGCCTCAAGAATTGTTTTCAAGAGGGTCCTGTACCGGTATGTGTGGCTAATTCCGAGAGAGTTTAACATGTGGGAGGAAACCCAGGTTCTCTGAGAATGCCCATCTCCTCGCACAGGAAGGGGAGACATTCATCATTGTCATATGATGGTCAATTCAGAGCCTCGCGGCTATGACACCTAGAGAAAGCCCGTCCAAGTGTTAAGCAGGCTCAAAACCCTGCTTTAGCTGACAAGCTCTGAAAACATCACGATTGATTCGGGGAGATTTGGTCATATATATTATTGGGCACATCCAAGGTGGACCTGTCAGAATGCCCAGACACAAGGTTGTTAGGCGTTACCACCACATGAAAAGATATTAACATTAAAAATTCCAGCACGCAGCAAGACACTCCTGCAATTTCTATCCTAACCAATCTCCCCCACCCTACACCACCCCAACTGACCGCCAGCTCAATTACAAGGGAGATAAATGGCTGCACCACTGCCTTTCATAATGCTCCACTGTACGATGGGAAAAAAAGCAATGTTCTGGGTGGGACCAGTTGACAATAATCACCATCATCATTATTATCACCGGTCATGATCTATTCACTGCTAGATTAAGGCCACGCCAACCCATAGTCATCTCTCGCTGTTCCGATCCTACGATCCATCTCGCGTCTGCACACAAGCCAATTTCATCGCCCAATCACTGCGGCGGACGTCATCTCAAGCGATGTATCCCTTCCTCCTTAGGCTGCCACTCTGCTCCTGGTCTCGTCCACGACCTCTGAGCAACGTGTCCTGCCCAGAGTCCACTTTTTGGTGTAATCGTCTGTGTGATCTCCAAAGCCAACCAAGCCTCCACAGCTTCTTAATTAAATAATTCCCCCGTAGGGCTCCTAACAAATCCGTTATCAGCAAAAAATATTCACAAGCCCTGTTGTGCTTGGCCATGGATTTATTTTTTTAAAAGCCTTTGTTGTGGTCCTGTTCTTCTCGCAAGCTTTCGGGTTTAGGTAATAACGTTGAGTTCTGGCTGAATTGATGTTGCACACTGTACGGACTTGACTTTACGCACTGCTGCAGAAGGTAGTAGCTGTATGCAAGTGCTGTCGGTGGGGGCAAGCTTCATTTCTGTTTGTGAGCTGCCGATGACTGCGGATGCATTGCTGAAACGAGAACATTTCACCGAGGCCCAGACAACGCAGAGCTCAAATGTGCTCACCACTGCTGAGCAATGTGTTTTCCACTACTCTACTGTATGCAGTGCAGGCACAAGCACTAAACCCTCCACCTCCACACACACACTGTGTGTGTGTGGAGGGTTGTGTGCATGGTTATTCCCGTACTGTATTAGCCACTGTGGCACCAAGGCTTGCATACAAAGTGTGGAGTCGCTGCAATGTACTGCAATGCAACGTTAATTACGTGGGCCCTTTGTCAATCCACTGCTCGATGAAGGCCTGACCCCACCCTGTTTTGGTACTCGAATGGGGGGATGCGAATGGGTTTTGTTAAACCGTACATCAACCACGCTGGTTGCACTGTGCTATTCTAAATGTGAATGTACAGCAAATGTACTGTAAACTACTACAGTTATTGTACTGCTCTTGTGTGTGCACGTCATTACAGGATGTTAAGACTGAGAAAGCATGTTGGAGTACTGTGTAAAAGAACACTATTTTTTGCATCTTAGTCTTGCATGGAAACGCCATCTCTATTTTCACACGCCCACCCACCCACTTGTATTGTAATAGGGCATTTCAACAGAACGGTATAGTAATGAGACTACTTCAGTATTATGGTATGGAATATAGGTTGCATATCATTACAGTACTGTACTATGTATCCCAAGTCCTGATATAAATGGTGGAAATTCCACATTACTTGGACGGAAACCAGTACAGGATACCTACAGGACAATCACATAGAGCACACTACAGCACAGTATTGCTCGACAGTACTCGATAACAGTGTATATATTTTCGAGTCTGAAGTTGACAATAATAGTTAAAAGAGTGTCCTTTAATAACCCAGGAAAACCTCACCGAGTCTCAGGACGTTTTTTTCAGGTGGGCTCCCCATTTTGATATTTGGACGTTTTAATTCTCAAGTTCACGATGCTGTAAAATTACACCATACCAGCAGTTCATGATGCACAGTGGAATCCTGTAAACCGGCCAAGCCCACCTCAACTCCAAACACAATCCCAGCTCCTATCCCACACCCAGCTTTCATCAAAAACCCAGCTCCTATCCAAGATTATATCCCAACCCCAGATTATATCTCAACTGCTATGCAAAACTCAGCTTTTATCCCAATCCCAACTTCTATCTTAAACCCAACTCCTATCCCAACCCCAGCTTCTATACCAACCCCTATCCCAAACCCAACTCCTTTCCCAAACCCAGCTCCACCATCCAAACGTGTCCCTCCCAAACCCCCACCCATAGCTCACTCGGGCTTGCGTCTGGACTTGTCGACGTAGAGTTCGGAGATAGACACGGACACCTGCCCCAGGAACTTGTCCGGACCCAACAAGGAGCGGTGCATCACGGACACCACCACCACGCAGCTCTGCGACTCCTGGCGGTGACCTCCTCCTGCCGCTCCGTCTCCAACCAGGGCGTCTGGGGGCAACTCGAAAGAGCACTCCTCATTCCATTGGGGATGGCAGCTCTTCTCCAGCACGGACGTGGCATAACGCTCTCGGCCCAGCTCCATGACTGCGAAGGCATCGTTGGTTCCATTCTTGCCCTTTGAGCGCAGGCCACGAGCCTGGAGCACGGTGATCTGCACGTGAGTGGGACACCACCTCTGAGCTGCCTGCTCCTCCAGAGATCCAGAAGACATTTTTCTCTTGCTCTTCTCCCCTCCTGGCTTCTTGAATGGCAACACTATCCGGCGGTGTCTATGTAGCTAGACAATAGCACTCAACAGTGGAGCTGAACGATGCTGTGTATTGATATTATAATTATCTTAATATGCTATTTATCTTGGTATTATAAGCACTTTACCTAAATAAGCGATGTACCTTTGATATGCTATGTAACCTATTGTCATATATTTTCAATAGGGTCTTCTTACCTGATTTCAAATATAGTAACAAGCCTCTTCGAATAACCGCAGTGCACGACTGATGTATACTCTTCAGTAATAAGTGGTGATGTTGTATAACCACTGTGTTAGGCACGCTGTGTTAATGTGCTGTGTAAGACAAAACAGTAAATATGAAGCCACTTTCTTATCTCTGCTGTTGCCTTTCTGCCTTCGACCGAAATAATCTACATTAAAATACAGCCTTGGTATATATTTGTGGCAATCCGTTACTACGCCTCGAACTGTCTTCCTCTTTAAACCCTGCCCCTTTTTTATTCACTCCTCTATAATAATATTTCGCTCGTGTAATTAAAAACAACAATGCACCCCAGGAAGAGACAGAGAGAGAGGAGGCTCTGTCCGCGACTAACAAACACCAACTTCAATCCGAACGATCATCCTCCCTTCGCAGTCTTCCAGATCTTCCTTTGCTCTCTCGCTTGTCCAAATTCCTCTCCGCTTCAAGACGCGTTCCGACCGACCTCCGTCCTAGCCCGAGGAGAAGCCCAAGACGGACAGGAAATATTTCGGAGGTTTTTAAAAAAAAAAAACACAAGAATTACAGTTACAAAGCAAACGCGAGTTCGTTCTTCAAAACTCAGCATCGACGAGAGCGCGAGCACGGATGGAGACACGGAGTTGTTGATCGCTGCACCCTGTATCTTTAGAAGAATCACACTGTCGCCTTCATCTCTGCCCGTGCTGCTGCTGCTGCTGCTTCTTGCTGTCTCTCCGAGCCGCCGTGTTCGCACGTTGACGATAGCATCTGCCTATTGCGCGCAACACGCGCGCACACACGCGTGCATTCACACACTGGGTGGTGTGCGCGTGTGTGTGTGTGTGGTGTGTCAGTGTGTGTGTGTGTGGTGTGTCAGCGTGTGTGTGTGGTGTGTCAGCGTGTGTGTGTGGTGTGTCAGCGTGTGTGTGTCCGTCCGCTACTTTGCTACCGTCCCACACACAATGCTGTGTTTGTCCGGCTGCCGTAAGCATGTGTGTGTGTGTCTTGACATGCGCTGCCGACTTAAGGAATGGGGGTGGGAGGGTGGAAAGGGGGTGGTTGGGTTGGGTGGGTGGGTGGTGGTGGTTGTTGGTGAGATGATTGCTTGCTTAGCTTACGAGTGGGGACTACGGGATATCATGACTTGGGTACGGGGGGGGGGCGTGTGGGATTGGGTGCCGCGCATGTTGTGATATAGGCAGGGGGTTTTGTGTGTGTGAGGGGTGGGAGGTGTGTCGCAACTTGTTTGTACAGAAAGGGGACAATATAAATGATATAAATAATCCTGTTAACTTGACGTCACTGGCGGCGTCACTGCTCTTCATCTCTGGAGCCACGTGGGGGTCTCTCGGGACGTTGACCCACCCCCTCCCCGTTGTTGCGCGGGGGACGTGAGGTCCCTTGCCGAATGGCCAAATGGAGAAAGAGGGAAGAGAAACTCAGATTCGGCGGCGGTGGGGTGGTGCTTATGCCACACGACAGCCACACGATGCAAATGATCAAATAGAGAAGTATTTTTTTTAAAATTTTGCTTATCCGTACAGCATCAGACAAATGCACGTGTTGTGCTTATGGATGCATTCAGCTGATATGGTTATTGTCAATAACTGATGTATTCCTAAAGTAATTAACATTTTAAATACTATGATTAATACAAAACATTAGTGTTTAATCTACATGACAGTTTTATAGTTGTACTGGCAATCTGAAAAACAATCATTTGTTACAAGATTGAGTTTATAATGGACTGTACCATGTCAACTGAATGGTCACATTTAAATAATCGCATTTTGGCGATGCCCTTCATAGCTTTAAACAATTGTCGGTAACGTTCCTAAATGTGTTTTTGTAGATTTATCACCGTATGATATTGGTAATAAGTTATTGAATGCACTATATCCTTTATCCCAAAACGTGAATTTTGCTACAGGGTTAAATGTGTTATTTGGAACGTCAATTCAATAATTTTGGTATTATCAATGTCGTAAGATCTGGGTAGTTATGAACCTTTTTAAAGATTCTTTGCAAAACTGATGTCGATGAGACCGTATTAAACAATTTTCTGGGAATATGTTTTTCATATTCCAAGGTTATTCCGTGTTATTTACTAGCAATGATGTGATCGATGCAATGACTGACCATGCCTTTCACGCCGCATTTCACTTGTTATGAGCTCATACTATTTAATTTTCAGCAGTTGTTGGTTGCCTTTTTTTTAGAAAGAAAAATCAGTGTACCCTTGAAACTTGGACATAGCCGAGGAATTACTGCAGTGTGAATTAACAGAGGCTGCAGCGCGTGTACTGTCTACATATTTTAAGAGCAATCGGGCCGTAATTACCACAGTTTCTTACCCACACCTGACATGGGGAATTTAGAAAATAAATGTCAGATGGCTGCAGGCTTTGAACAAGTCTAGAGTATATATTCTTGGTTCTTTCGGTAAAGTCACGTAGTGAGAATTTTATTGTTTTATATATATTTTATTATTTTATTGTTTCCCTTCTACGTTACAATACAGAAAGAACCAAGAATATGAATCCCTGCAGTCACGAAAGCTTTAAATCAAAATCAAAAATCTAGAGTAGCCTCCTGTGCGTCGGCTTTTCTCATCCATGTCACCGTTCTCGCCGAATGCTGGGAGCAGATTTGCCCTTTTGCCAGTAAATTACGGCAGGCTGTGAATTAGGTCTGTGGTAGATTCATATTTTACAAAAAATATAGGAGAATTCTTCTTCTTAATTTCATGGCAAAAAAAAAGAAACAAACTTTGGGGCAAAAGCAATGTTTTCCCAAAAAGGAACGTTATTCAGCTGACTAGTATAACGGTCTGGCAGGGAGAGCAGTTCTCCTGCATGCCATTGCGTAAACGCATTTCACATTGCCATGTGGCATGGAATGGCTCTCTTGGCTCACAGGCAGAAAAACCGCTCATTAATTCAAGTGCATGTCCACTCGCGATCCCTCCGTACAGTATTTGTATGCACGAGGGTGCGGTTGTGCAAACCAGGTTGAATAATTAATTGTCCTCTATATAATATAACATCATTTATTTTATCCAGCAGCAAATATATTTTTTAAAATAATGGCGCTATAATTACATGGCTTCTTGAAAATATAGAAATGTTTGAATAGGTTCTGCATCATTCTTCATTAGTCTAAATTATTTGCACCCGTTTCAGATTGTCTTGCCAGGATCTCGCTGATATGTGGGTAGAGAATTAGCCATAAATATTTGCAGGATATCCTTCAATGAACTGTCCTTTTTGGTATTTATTTCCCTCTGTCAAAGAAAGTATAGGGAGGCATGGTAAGAGTGTTTAGTGCCCTGGGTTATGAACCTAAAAAGCTGAGTTTCGTTCCCCACCATCGCTAACATCAGTGATAAGTGATATCTGAACCTTCCTGGACCTTGTTCACGAATCAGCACAAACCAATTTGGAGAAGTATGATCAATCAACTTCCGTGACTGACACGTGGTGCGGAAATCTTCACCCAGTAGTGGATTTACAGAGAGATGTACAGTAATTTATTCGTGTGCTATGCATGCACACCCTGGCGGTTTCTCTGCAATACATACAGCATCTACTGCCGCCTTGGATTGGTTGAAGGATGTTAACATTAAACTATGACATCTATACAAACTGTTGCTTACACACCATACGAAAGCAGAAGAAGTAATTTCTTCATAAATATTAAAGAACAAAAATATACGGTTTAAAGCGTTCGTGACTGCAAGGATTCATCTTCTTTGGTTCTTTCGGTAAAGTCACAATAAAATTAGTGATAATAAAATTAGTGATAATTTTATTGTTATTTTATTTTATCAATTTATTATTTAATTCTCATTCTACGTGACTTTACCGAAAGAACCAAAGAAGAAAAATATACGGCTTAAAATGAAAAAAGTTATGTTTTAAGAGGCTTCCTTTGTGTAATCATGCTTTTCAATTATAAAATAATATTGGGCACTGAATTTACTCTTGTGCCAAATCGCAATGGTACAGGTAAAGAAAATAGAGAAATGTAGTAAACTTTAAAAAGTGACCTTTTCATCAGTCACAGTTAATTCAATATTGATATATCGTACGCTGAACACAGGAAGGTCTGCCCTAGCTACAGGAAGCATCTGTTTCTCCTTTTAATAGCTGAAGTATTTCCCTCAAACAACTCAAACGGCCATTCCTAGATAATTGCCTTGTATACTATATGCCCAGTGGCATAGAATTGTTGGCACCGGCCCTGGTGCAGTGAATAAAATGGGGCCCCCTGTCCCACATCCACCCTCTTCATGGCCCAGTCCATGGGTCCCAGTGCACTTGCACTGCCTCCACACTTCACAGCTGCCTCACTCACTACGCCCTCTCAGTTAATTATCTTCCTTTGATCTGAGGTCGTGTGCCTCCGAGCCATTTGCAGTATTATTGTTTGCAACAACAACAAAACGAACCACACCTATATTTTGTTCACGCTTGGGGCTACATGTAAATGTGCGGTGTTTTCGGTGACTTGAGGTAAAGGGCACAGATACCTCGAAAACAATGGTCCACATTAAATGGAATCCGCGTGTATCTCGTGGCAGATCCACCCACTATGACACTCGCAAGCGTAAATTCAACGAAAGCCCGGCGTGCGATTCCAAAAACGCTGACCCGACCCTCGACCACGTCACATGGTACTGAACTCCCAAAATTGAACCGAGACAAAGAAGATATCCACCACACATTGACTAAAGCCATTTCCTGCCCTCCGCCTCAGCCGCCACCGGCCAAAAAACACTTCACAACCATACTTGCAGCACGGTGAAGCATACACAAACAATCCCCATGATCAAGGGGTCGGCAACCAGCATAACAAGAGGCTTCTTTTTGTTCGAATTGGATAACCGAAAAAAAACACCTCAATATTTCAAGAGCCGCAATGCCATGTGAATAATGTCACGCAGCAATCCCTAAAGAGCCGCACGAGACTCCTGCCCATGACGGACACAGTGTGCGGCGATTGGGAGGCCTTCATACAGCAGTGCATTGACACAGTCATTAACATGATTTCTTTTATGTACATTTTATTTATAAATTGTCGCACACAAAAAAACACGTTGTCCATCGAAATATTGCACAGTATCACTTTCAATGAGCATTCCTTTAATTGCGGCGAAGTCGTGGAGAGGCATGGTGAAGTATGGACACTTAATCTCTCACCTCCCCCCCCTTTGAAAACAGTAACTGCTCCGTGCAGCTCACTACTGCTTGCTCCAACATTCTTACTCCCCCTTCATTCTCCTCTCATCTCTGACATCTTGGACTCGTCATTCCTTCTTCCAGTCCTCTTGCCTGCGCTCCTGTTATTTTGCTGCTGCTCATCTTGAGCTCTGTCCTCTTTGTCTGCGTTGGGGACTTCCGTCCCAACATCCCTTCTCTTTGCCAGTCATCTTGCCCCTGTATGCCCTTATTTTGTCTCTTCCCTTTCCCGTTAATTTTTCTTTTTCATCTAATTATATCCTTCATTCTACTCCCCGTCTAGTGCCACGGGTAAAAGGTTATTACTATTACCGCATTATATTGTACACAGATCTCAGTTTTAGTTGATGCGTGGTACAACATCAAATGTATTTATATGTACAGCTACCGACACATACTATAGATTACATAATATATTCATGAAACATCCATTCATTGCTTGGCAATGAAAGGATTCAAAATGCAATCCCACTGCACAGTTTTCTCAAAAGTAATCGCGCACTGTTTGGGCGCGGTCGGTTACATTCCAGAGCAAATTGTTTACAGTTTCGCTCAAGTGCAGGATTAGCCATACTTAGACCGCAATGCATACAGCAACTCAGTGTGTAATATTTGTGGATTTAGTGAAAATAGATAGATGGCAATTGTTCTAATGTTTTTTCCAGCTAAATATTGCCCAAACAGAAGTACTGTTCATCAACAAAAAGTCCACTCTCAACAAAGACCGGCAAAGAATTTGGCACAGACTTGCCATTGTATATTGATCCTGAGCTCTCGTATTTTCCACGCATCTCAACTCTGCA